GAGGAAGGAAGGAAGGAAGGAAGGAAGGAAGGAAGGAAGGAAGGAAGGAAGGAAGGAAGGAAGGAAGGAGACACCACCAAATTCAAACTCATCGCCATCAACTCGATGCCGATTGATAGGGGCCCTGACAGGGAAGGGTAGCCCTGTCCCTTTGACTTTCTCAGACTGTAGCTTTTTACAAAAGGCCCCGTTGGTACAGCTGGTGGTTTCAAACTGCTGACCCTGCAGTTAGCAGCCCAACATGTAACCACAGCTCCACTGCATCTCTCTGCCTTCCGTCTAGCTCTTGTTATCTTTCCCTCTGCCAAATCCCAGGCCAGCATCCGCTCTGTAAGCACTACTACACTTCCGAAACTCAGATCACAGACTTAACCCGTCTCTCCAGTCGGCCTCTTCCTGGCTGTGACAGGGCAGGGATGACAGGCGTGCACGCACCCCAGGCCCGGCCCAGGGCCTGCTTGGAGGCCCCTTCTTGTCTTCACACAGCAGCATGAGGGGCAGGGCATCTTCAGCGGCTGGGCATCCACAGCACCACGATGAACTCCGAGATGCCCATGTTGAGGGGTTGGGTGACCGCATTGGCTCCCTTGCATAGCTGCCAGCAGTTACAGGGCTGCTGGACGAGGTCCAACAGCCTCTTGGTGAGGTGGGCATCTGCGAGGGCACAGGCTTTCGGGTTTACAGCTGCCGCAGTCATGGCTGCAGTTCTATGGTCTCACCCCTACGGGAGGAGCACGGTCAAAGTTGGAGCATGAGCGGTGCCAACGCCGGAAAGCCGCCCTGGGAAGGAGCAACAATGGCTGCCTCCAGGAGAGTCCTCTGTTCCTGTATCTCCATCCCCCAACTGCACGAAATGATGTGTTAAATAAGATGTGTGCTTTCATACATGCATGGCTAGGACTCTGGGCCTGCTGAGGAAAGATTTCCCCCAGAGCCTCTGGAGAGAGCATGGTCCTGCAGAGCCACGAGACAATGGCTGTCCGTAGTTTTCAGCCACCCCGGTGGTTTTGTTATGTCGTATTTTGCTATGTCCGCTCTAGGAAACCAATACAGCTGCCTTCTAGCCTGCTATTCAGACGGTTGGCTTGCTGCTCCTACTTAAAGCTCCCTCTGTCCCACCAGCTCGGAACAATCACTTGCCCATCTTCAGCAAAGTTCCAGAAGGTTCTAGAAGGTTTGTCAGGGAGAGGAAAAAAATCTTGTGCAACACATGTGGGTCTGGGAAGGATTTAACTTCCGGATCCCTGCAAAGTAGCCGTGCATAGCTTAGTTCTGCCTCCAGTCACGTGAGATCCTATGAGCATATCATTTTCACTTCTGGCAGATTTGGGCCCTCTCCCTTTAAAGTACACCTCCTCCCAATATGAGTGGGAAACTGACACCTTTTAATATGGAAGGTGAGCAGATAAGTGGAATGGCTATCGCGCCCATGATAGAAATTCTTTCCATACCTGCTTAAATAATTTAATGGCATAGGCTCGGTCTCGAATCTCCACTCTGAATACCTCAAACATCTCCCCTTCTCCAATTAGGAAGTCTTTGTGAAAACATTTGGTTCCTTCCACGATGTCTTGAAAGTTGATGGAGGATCTGAGCAATACTCCTTAGGAAGAAAAGTCAGGAGAAAATAAGTCACCTTTTCACCTTTTTCTCTCTTAAAGAGCCTAAAAACAAACAAACAAATCAATAGAAAAATAAAATAATCTAGTAAGTCATCATTATAATGAACCAAGACTAACAAGCAGAAGCAGGCCAGTCAAGGAGAGCCCCAGGACCCCATGTGAAGTTCCCTAAAAGGACAGGGGCTCACATGCTCGCCGCACCTTGACTGGGTCTGGTTCTTCTCAGAACTGCACAGGACAAGTGGCATTTTGGATCTTTGTTTTTGTTTTGTTTCATTTTATTTTTTTACTTTTCACAGGCGTGGCATCATAAATTATTTGTCCATGTGTGATTGGTAACATCTCTCAATGTAATGTCCTCTTGGTCCATCCAGGTTCTAAAATGTTTCCCTGGTCCCTTGTTTATTCTTTAGCATTGCATAATGCTCCAGTGTGTGTATGCACCATCGTTGGTTTATTCATTCTTCCATTGATGGGCATTTGGGTTCTTTCTATCTGTTGTTTGCTATTGTGAATAGTGTTGTGATAAACATGGTGTGCATAAACCCCAAAACTCACTGCCATCGAGTTGAGTCTGACTCCCAGGATCTCTGTAGGACAGAGCAGAACTGCCCCTTTGGGTTTCCAAGGCTGGACATCTTTACGGGAGCAGACAGCTTTATCTTTCTCCCAAAGAATAACTGGTGGTTTTGAACTGCTGACTTTGTGGTTGACAGCCCAACTCATAACCCACTTTGCCAGCAAGGCTCCTTTGGGTACATACAGCTGTTCATACCACAGCTCTTACTTCTCTAGGATACGGCACTAGTAGTAGGCTTGCTGGATCACATGGTATTTCTAGTCCCAATTTTGCAAGGATGCTACATTCCATTTTCCAAGCGTACATGCTTAGCTGCTGATTGAAAAGTTGGAAGTTTGAACCCCCGTGGAAGAAAAGGCTAGAGGTCTGGTCTCATAAATGTCACAAGCTAGAAATGCGATCAGGCAGTTCTACTCTGCCCTATAGGGTGGATAGGAGTCAGAATCGACCCCACAGCACACAATAGCCACAACATTACAAACACAATATCTATCTACGGAAATGTGTGCACTGAACCTGCATATTAATCAACAGACAGCACATAGATTGAAAGGAAGGTGGGATTTAAGGAGAATGGCTGTTTCGCTTTTACCTTTGTCATTCCGCTCCGGAAGAAGAACGTTCTTCACTGTGACGGGTGCTGTTTCCTACGGGGAGGAAATCATACTGAAGGGATTCTGTTTCCTAAGTCCAGCAGGAACACAGCCCTGACCGAACCCCGAAGCTCCCCCTGGGGAGACGCAACAAAGTGCATTCTAATTGAGAAGAAAGCGAGTAGAAAACAAACTCTCACATTACCCAAAAGCATTCATTGTCCTGTACGCTTAAGGCTTTCAAACTAATTCTGAAAATTAAAGTATCAATACCACGGTCCATTATAATCTATTTTAAATCGATTTTACATGGCTTCTAATGGTACGTAAGCAATCGCTGCTAATTTTCTTTAATGAAAATGAATAGCAACATGCCAAAGGCTAAGAGGACCAGGAAATCTAAATTGGAGTTAAGGCAACGGCGTAACTCACAGGGCCCTTCCTAGTTCTGCCTCAACTCTGCGAGCACAGCCAGGAGAAAGTGCTTAACCTCCAAGCACTCAGGGACTCTCTGATGCCCTGGTCCCCTCCTTAAATAAAGCAGAACGAGGAAGCTACAGGAATTCTGGTTTTCAAAAGGGTGCTGGCAATCCAGTATTATTCTTTTGGGAAATTTCATTCTTTATGCTCAATTATATTCATATACACAATGGCCCTCAGGGGTCATTATCTATGTACACACACTCTACCTTTGGTGGAAATTTTGGAAAGGCGTCCCTTGGATGACTTTGCTCTGAAGGTTTCAAGGCCATTCCTGAAAGAGAAGTAAAAAGATTTCTGCGTCCTCTTCATCAGGGGCTAAATACAAAAGTATTTTATGACCTTAATCAACATTCTTGAGATTGTGTTAACAAATAACTAGATAGTAACGTTCTTTCCTATAGCTCAGTTTCAATCCCACAGAATGGTTGTAAAATTACACATGTGAAATAGTTTTATGATGATCAAATTTTGTATAAACATACTTTCAGTCATTTAAAACATGAATAGTTACTTTAAATTATTGTTAGCCTTCACTACAGATATGAAACTATAAAGCAGAAATTTAAAAGGGTAAAGGCAACATTTTTATTGTCTTTTTGCACATGTACTCTAAGTTGTACAACGATGGAATGATATTTTTCTGATTACTTTTTATCCTATCATCTTGTACTACACATCAGAGGTGGTTTTGTGTATGTGCGTGTGAGACAGAGATTAACCACAAGTAACTACCACACCACCCGAAATGCAAACCCATTACATTGAGTCCATTTTGACCCCCAGGGGTTCTACAGGACAGGGTTGAACTACTCAGTAGGGTTTATTTTTTTTCTTTTTAATCATTTTATTAGGGGCTCATACAACTCTTATCACAATCCATACACACATCAATTGTGTAAAGCGCATTTGTACATTCATTGCCCTCATCATTCTCAAAACATTTTCTCTCCACTTAAACCCCCGGCATTAGGTCCTCATTTTTCCCCTCCCTCCCCACTCCCCCCCTCCCTCATGAGCCCTTGATAGTTTATAAATTATTATTTTGTCATATCTTGCCCTGTCTGACGTCTCCCTTCACCCACTTTTCTGTTGTCCATCCCCCAGGGAGGAGGTCACATATAGTTCCTTGTAATCGGTTCCCTCAGTAGGGTTTCTAGACTAGCTCCCGCAGAGCATTACCAGGGCCCTCTCCACCCATCCCTAATTGTAGACTTGCAGATGCAGTGAATTACTTGACATGGCTCTTCTAGCCAAAGTCTCTTTAATTCCCACCAAATGACCTGCACAGAACTGGGTCCGAAAGTGAGGACAGGATTCACCTGTACGTAGCAATTGTTAACAGGATTCATGGGTTGCCATCCGGCTGGGTGGAAAACGAGCCCACTAAGACACTGGGTGGGAGAAATCTCACTACCAGCAAGAACCCAGAGTGAACCTCCTGACTCCCGAAGAGAGCTGTGACCTTGGAGGAGCAGCAGCAGAGGCAAGAAGCAGAGCATGAGGCAGAGTGTGGACTTCCCGGCCCACAGGGCACGGAGAGCTGAGAGCCGCTGGGCCGGAGGCTGACGTGTGGGCTGCCTTTGGACAGTTAATTGGAGGAGTTGGGCTTGCTGGCCGCAGTACTTCAGATGAAGGCTTACTTTCATGGGGTGCCTCTAAGCACTGAATTTAGGGAGCTGGGTTTACGGACTCAAGGAGCTTGAGCTGAATGCCAGTGGGTAGAGGTTTACAATGGAGTGGCTTGCTCTTTGGGCATTGATCAGCAGCCCTGGAGGAACTTTGGAACATGCGCTGACTAAAGATCTGTATCCTGAGCATTTCTAACCTGCATTGTACCCTGTTAAGGTCCTTAAGAAACCCTATTATCATGAGCATTGTCTGTGAGTTCTGTGAAGCCATTGCAGGGAGTTACAGAACTCAGAAGATAAGAGAACAAGATTCTAACTTCAGCTTTAGATTTCCGTCTGCATTGAGGTAGTCTATGTAGCTTCCTACAAAAGATTAAAGCCTGCCATAGATTACAGTTAAGTAAGAAAAGGAAACATCAGGTAACTTCTAAAAATTGTTTTCTTGGCCTATACTTCACATATCGTACAGTTTAATCATTCAATCTTATTAAGAACAGTTGTGCGATCAATTTGAGAACATTTTCTTCTTGAACTCATTGTTGTTAGAGTCATTTCCCTCCCATTCCCCTTGCCCTGCCCCAGATAATTATTAACCCAGTTACTGTCTCTATAGACTTACCGAGCCGGGATTTCATATGTAGAACATCGTACAAACCACAATCAAGAAGTAAACAAACAGACAAAACAACAACAACAACGATCAGACAAAGCATAAAAAGACCTCAATAGAAAACAGAAAATATTAAAAACTGAAACAAAAAAAAAGAGAGATGAGATGATGAAGTGTTACATCTTAACATAACTATACCTGCTATAATCAACTTTACATGTTCTCTGATAGCAAATGATTCACATCCTTGGACTATGTTCAGAGGGGAGTAGCAAATATCTTGATTTAGGCATTGTGAAGAACAAAATTTAAAGTTTGGAGACTATTAGAAGACTTAAAGTTAGTGTTTTGTTATACGTGAAAATGAGGTGATATTTCAATGTCATAAAATGGAAGATCAAATAATTCTCCCAAGAGGTCAGCAGAAAGCGGTGAGCTCCGTGTCAAAATCAGAACACTGCTGTTAGTCGTGGAGCCGCGCGTGTGAGACGGGATACGTAAGATCGCAGTCCCGACGAGCGTGGAAAACAGCCCTGATAAGCTTGGGGCCTAGTTTACATACATGAAGAAATCACCTAAAGGTGGCCGCTGGCACTGCAGGGAGAGTGCCAGGGTTGTGGGTTAGTGTTGGGCTGCCAATCTCAAGGTTGATGCTTCAAACCCAGCAGTCACTTGATGGAAGACAAGGCTGTCTGCTCCTGCAAAGATTTACAGCTTCAGCAACAAGGCACAGGGCTGCTATGAGTTCTCATGGGCTCAATGGCAGTGGTTTTGGATTGGGGGTTGATTTGGGTTCTCACTAGGGCTCCTTTACGTGTGTGTGTTGGTGAGGAAGTTCTGACTCTCCTAAGAGTAGTGTTTCCAGGGCTGTGATCTGTATGGAAGCAGCCTGCTACATCATCTTCCCATGGACCAGCTGGTAGGTGTGAACTGCTGATCGTCAACAGCAGCCAAGTGCTTAACCGCTGCGCCATGAGGGCTACTGACGAGACTCAGTCGGCAATCCTAATCTACAACGTGGCGCCTGGAGGTCAGAAGCTGGAAAGTCCAATTCTCTCTGCACCACCAAAATGAACACAAAGTTAGGAAAGGAAGGTAAAGATGAATGGTTTGGACACTGCTAGGCCTGCCCACTGAAGAAAGATGAAATAGTTGCAGGCATTTTCATTTAGGATCTCCAAGACCCGTGATGGAGAGAAACCAGGACAGGGGGCATCTGCTCAACAGGTTGCACCTACATTTCCAAAGAGTCGTGACATCTTTTCCTTAGCCACCAATCCCACCAAGATTCTCAGGATTATGGTTTACTTCAAAATATCAACTCAATAATTACAGTGAAATAATGCTACTTTCTTTAGTGGTGAACTCCGATCAACCCCATAGCTTCCTATTGTTTTGTACGTCAGTGTTTGTCTCCCCACCCCCGCCCCAATCAGCTGATATTCCACTTAAAAAAAAAATCAACTTTGGATATGCAACAGACTGGAAGCCAGTCCGGCATGTGGAATTTCTGCCTACTGCCAGTCCAGCTCATTTTCCACTGCCTCAATTAACAACACAGAGAGGGAAAGCTAGTCTCAAGCCGACTGCAGAATCTGCAGAAGGAAGCACACCCACATGTCCTATCAAAGTGGTTTGAGGTGATATTGTGAACGGCAAACCCCGTGGGTGGTTCTCGTAGCTGGAAAAGATGCAGGTAATGAAAAGGCACTGCATTTATAGCTCCCAGGGACTCAC